TTAGTCGCTCAGCTTCCTCTTGAATCAGAGCGGAAATATCAGGTGGAGCTAGTACTGTCGCTGTGGGTACGGGTGCGGGTACGGGACTCCCTTCAAGTGCAGCAAGTCGTTGTTCGAAAGATGACAGGGTCTTCTTCATCACCTCATACTCCTCCATGACCTTCTCCATCCTTGTCAGCACATCATCCATGAAACGATTGAGGGTCTCCTTACTGGCCGTCTGCTCGTTGCGAATTTCCTTCAGCATATGAGAAATCCTACGCAGCTCGTCATCATTGCCCTGTCCTGCCTGGGTCGCTAATCGTGGTGCCTGCGAGCGGAGTGTATCAGGCGGACTAACAGCTTTGGACTTGCCTCCACTGAGCCGAGCATGCAAAGATCCCGTCCCAACACTTGGACTATGGGATGAGGAGGTTGGCATGGTCTTCCAAAGCACTACGCAATCTACTTCAGTACTGATCAGCTAAATAAAGTATAAGGGCTAGAGGCTACCCTGAAAGATATCTGAAAAACGGCGGAGCACCAAAATTTGCATCCGCACACAACAGTAGACATAGTTGTAGATATCGTGAAAACAACAGCACATCCTGCATTGTGTGACCCGTGCAATTACTCCCTGCCACATTTGGGGCCAGAAATGTCCAAGAACAGGGAAACAGAAATTCAGCCAGGTTTTACAAAATTAGGACAGGTATGCCATGGCAAAATGTATGGAGAAGCAGATCCAAAACCCAGATTTTTGAGATTTAAAGTGGGTTTTTTGATCCTCAATTCGGCCCAAATCCGACTTTCAAAAGCCAGCGGGCTAGTTTCCGATGAATGGACTGTAATCAAAGACACCAACCATGATGCTTGCCAGCAGTCCCGCAATAGGCCTTGGCGGATAATGCTCGAAAAGGTGGCAGATTCTGCTTTTTTTGCACCGAAATTGGCAGAACCATACAAACCTTATGGCGGGCAATTCCTCGAATTCTGCTCCATTTCTTTATCCACATACCAAACATGCATGAAACTTACCAGAAAAAGTACCGAATTCTGCCAATTTTTCTGCCGGCATTATCCGCCAAGGCCTATCCCGCAACAGTGCACTTAAAACCGGTACATACTGGCAGTAGACACCCTTAGCAAACAACGTTATGTTGCAACGGTATTACCCTAAGGGGGAAAATACCGTGATTTGGGTTCGACCTTAAGCAAGATGCACGCTATTTTTAGTACACTGTTGCCGCGAGAATAGCTTTTACTTCGCGCGGTACAGCCATTTATGTCACCATATACGCGATACAAGGTGAAATGCGTACGGACTATGCAATATTTGGCCAAAAAACGTACCGTTGGTCACAACGATAAATCAGCCCCCATAACGTTTTTACGCTGCAGCTTCAACGCTATGTGGGTGATCAAGGTACGAGTACCATAAAAAATAGTGTTACCGTTTTTTGCTAAGGATGTCTAGTGTTTTGGCTACCATACTCTCCAAGACAAATGCAGTGACTCCTTAACCTGATTCATATAGACTTCCGTTTTGGAAGAAGATTGCAGACCACCCTCAATGGGTGCTCTGGCGTCAACATCCAACACACATGTAAATAACATTCATGCAGTATTTCCGGCACTTGCAATTTGCCGTCATGAATCTCTACCAGCACTTCTGAGGTAGCAAGCCGAGTTTCCGGCACATCTACTGAACAGCTAATTATTCACCTGCATGCCATAAGCATCAGCAGCTACAGACTTTGATTTGAGTCACCTTTCATGATAGCTGAGAGTGAAGCACACCTACATGTACATGTACGTACATGCACATTGTACTGCCAGCATTGCAGTTTCTGACCTTCACCTTTTCGGCTAATCTCTTGAGAGACACACCATGCTACTTTTGAAAGCATGGCGGACTCAATGCCGGTCTCGGGGACCAGCCTAGGGTTTTCACCTGCCGTAGAATATGCTAGCTGTTTCTTGGACGACCTTCAAGTATCTATTGAGGAATATTTTACCACATTGATCACAAATTCACGAATTTTGATCCATGATTGATAGCTCACAAGGCCGCTTACAAATTACAATACACTCACTGGTCTGCCGAACCAAGAGTATAACCACTCAAGAGTGTGCAACTCATGAGACCTTTTCTATGGGGTTCGCCGACGGCGAAACCTCACGTCACATGGTGTAGTGTCACAGTTGCACGCTTCCAGGCCATTTTTAGCGAGCAGCAGAGTAATAAAAAAAGCACTCTCTGACAGAAACTCACTGCGTGTATGCAAATCTCCAGCATGATCATGTGCACACTGGAGAGGTTCCACACTACGTAAAGTTGAGCAACTTTACGTGAGTGGGCGGGAAACCCCCTGAATTCGCGAGTTTGCACTCCACTTTACGGAAAGTTGTATACGGAGCACGAAAAGGAAAAGAGAAGAAGTTATGAGAGAAGAGTCGTTGAGGTAGAGCATGGATCATTCATCCCGGTCGTGCTCAGCACTACAGGTGGTCATGGCAAGGCAGCTGGCAATCTCTACGCTCGGATTGCATCCATGTTGGCCGATAAGAGGTCCGAGCCTTTCTCTATCGTCATGGCATACATCCGCACTCAACTGTCTTTTGCACTGGTCAATGCCGCAGTCACAGCCCTGAGAGGTCATCGGCACAAAGCGTCAAGAATCAACGGCTGCCCTTCGATCACGTTAGCAGTGGCAGAATGCAGCATGTAATGGTCAATCCTTGACTTAATTTGGTAATCGTTTTAGTACCTCGAACCCCGTGCTGAGTTTGATACGGTTTCTGGTATCTTGGCCGTAGACTACTACGCATACTGCTTCTAGCGGTTTCTTTGGATTTTACTGATTGATTACTAGTATACTGTATTTATTTATCTCCTGTACAAATAAATTTGTACCCCAATCCAAAAAAAAAAAAAAAAAATACCGAGAGTATGCAGATAGGGCTCTGATATCGTTTTTTTTTTTTTTTTTTTTTTTGCTTCAGGATCATATCGGCCTCTTGTACGGGAAACAGAACACAATTTTCTACAGAGTGAGAATCAATAGGGAAAATTTAATAGGAAAGAGATAAAGGAGAGAGGCTCTGATAACGTAGGTGCTCCGTAAGTGGATTGGGGTACACATTTATGACTCTCTCCACAGGTCGATCCGGTCGTACGCTACCGCGTTCGGAGTCACCAAGGGCAGCTACGCGATTTGAAAACTCCGTACGGCGGAACACAGATCCGCACGCAGTGTACGTAAGACTTGCTGTAGTTCGACTAAGTCGTTACTAACTTAATTACATTATGCGGAACCTCTACTATCCACTGAGTAAATCTGTGTGGCGGGTTGAAACCTGCGTTGAAAAGCCTCTTGTAAACAAAGCCTCAAGGCCGATTCCCAATACAAGTTTTTGTGATGCGACATGCGACTTGTGCCGCCTACTACGATCTGCAACCACTGCGTAATCTACAACTGTTGTTGCGATATTCGATGCGCTGACTATTTGAACCAGCTGTTGTCTCTGGTCTTGTTGTTCTGTCCCGTCCAGTGTGCGTATGGGTGTGGTGTGTTGTGTCCCAGGCATGGGTGTGGCGTGGATGGCGTGATGTGACGTGATGGTATGTGTGGTGCATGCAGGAGTACGCGTTGTCACTTGTCAGAGTGTGAGAATCTGCTTCCGTCTGCTTGAGAGTGCTTGTCTACTAGTTATTATTATCATTATTATTTTTTCTTATTTTGTTAGGGATTTCCCAACAGGCAATGTTGCCTTCTTACTGGGAACCCTAAATGAGACTTTGTGTGAGCGCGAAAAAAAGTTGTCGTTGTGACGTAGAGCATGCACTGCGATGGTAAGGCTTGGGTATGAGAGAGTGGTGTGATTCGTCCACGGTGTCGTTGTCTTGGTTCTTGTCACATGTATCGTACATACTGGTCGCTCATTGGTCGTTTCTGTCTGTTCACCCTTTATCCTGTTTATAACTGTTAGTCGTTTATGATTTCGTTGTCTTTTCCCTCGTTCTCTTGCCAAAACTAGTTTATATTTTGTAGCAATAAACAAGACTTAGTGTTGTATCAATGAGTCAGAGAGTTGTGCTGTTGCGGGGACGGGGGAGAAGGCCATTTCATTTAGAGTCGGTACTTTCCTTGCGTAATCTACAACTAAACATTGATGTTATCATAACCCTAGGCGCAGGCACTACAGCCTATTCATAAAAAAATAAGGGCTCTGGCTCTGGCAAGCTCCCCTATTTGGCGATTTTTCGTGATTTTATCGCACACAGTGCAGTGCTGCAAAATTTGAAATTGGAAAAAAGGTCCAAAAAGGGTACCCGAACTGGGTTTCGAACCTCACAGTGCACTGTTGCAGGCAGGGTCAAACGGCCTGGATTTTGATGGTTTTCCCCAATTCAGTGCTTTTTGGGCAAAACTGGCCGAAATCCTATTCTTGTTAGGGCTTGATTTTGGAGAAATAGACTTCAGAAACATAATTGGAAGAGGATTGCAGAAAAAATACTAAAAAAAACTGACATTTATAACCAAAAGCTAGAATTCCATCTTTTTATGAATGGACTGCAAGAAGACCTTAGGGTCTGTTGGGAATGCCCAAGTAAAATAATAAAATACAGTACTGTAGTTAGGGCGCGTTCGAATTGTCTTCATCAACTGTTCTAACAAATTTTATAAAGAGATAAGTTGAAGTGTTCCATTAGAACGGTTTCTATCATTTTAGAGTTTTTCAGTGGAATTGTCATGGCGATGATGACGTCCGATCAGATCGACCATCTCCACGTACTACGTGACGTAGCTATTCCAAACTCTTCGAAACTAATCCACCTTCCCATCGGATGAGTTTCGAGGAGCTTCGTTTTTCTGAAGAGGCCAATAAGGCCACCTCTTCAGAAAAACGAAGCTCCTCGAAAAGTCAAAGAGTGACAATTCGAACGCGCCCTAAATGTACACAAAGGAGATCAAAGTCTACTCTATACAGAGAGAAGTGTACACTTGCTTACTTACTGCAATTCAGGATCTTCATGATTTGCATGGGTGTCTGGTGCAAACTCCGTATTACCATAGTGTTCGTCGATGGCGCTAAGAAAGCCACGTTCAAACTCTGCTCAAGTGACACAATGCAGCACACACACACACACACACACACACACACACACACACACACACACACACACACACACACACACACACACACACACACACACACACACACACACACACACACACACACACACATATACACACTGATCTACTTAGATGGAGACAAGAGAGCTATCATGGCAGGAACAACATATACCGTAAAGTCTTGTATAAAAGCCGCGGCTTCTCTGACTTTCTTGGTGACATTTTGCTGGCTTCTATATGAGACAGGCTTCTATACAAGACAGGTATTTCTATGTATGTCAACACTAAAACCAGGCTTGTGTGTGATTTGATGGGTCCCAAAATTGCGGCTTCTATACAAGACTTTACGGTATGTATATGTTCTCACTGTGCAGATGGCAGCAGTGGCAATCGCACACCAACCACTCCAAATGCCAAACATGAGTGTACTCCTTTACTACTAGTTTATCCAAGAGTATGCTATAACTTATATGCTCCCAAGAGTATGCTATAACTTATATGCTCCCAAGAGTATGCTATAACTTATATGCTCCCAAGAGTATGCTATAACTTATATGCTCCCAAGAGTATGCTATAACTTATATGCTCCCAAGAGTATGCTATAACTTATATGCTCCCAAGAGTATGCTATAACTTATATGCTCCCAAGAGTATGCTATAACTTATATGCTCCCAAGAGTATGCTATAACTTATATGCTCCCAAGAGTATGCTATAACTTATATGCTCCCAAGAGTATGCTATAACTTATATGCTCCCAAGAGTATGCTATAACTTATATGCTCCCAAGAGTATGCTATAACTTATATGCTCCCAAGAGTATGCTATAACTTATATGCTCCCAAGAGTATGCTATAACTTATATGCTCCCAAGAGTATGCTATAACTTATATGCTCCCAAGAGTATGCTATAACTTATATGCTCCCAAGAGTATGCTATAACTTATATGCTCCCAAGAGTATGCTATAACTTATATGCTCCCAAGAGTATGCTATAACTTATATGCTCCCAAGAGTATGCTATAACTTATATGCTCCCAAGAGTGTGCAACTCCTGATACCCTTTCTATGGGATTCGCCGATGGCAAAAACTCACATCCCGTGGCCTAGTGTCCAAGTTGTTCGTTTCCAGCCAGTTTTTAGCGAGCAGCAGAGTAATAATAAAAGCACAAACTGGCAGATACTCACTGCATGTACGCAACTCGCCAGCAGTCAGCTTCTAATCAGCTTCTAGGTTAAGCCTGGTAACACAGCTCAGATGGTTAGAGCATTGCTCATGACAAGCAAGGTCCCGGGTTCGAGTCTTGGTGGGTCTGGTATTTGTTTTTCTTTTCAGGCAGTCCACATAGTGAGCAAACATTACATTGTTAACACCTCGACGAGGAGTAACAAACAATTGTAGCGACAACACATTTTCTTTCTGTACACAAGGTTCAGGATCTAACTTACGGATATACAAAGCTTCTAACACAGCCAAATGCAATGCACATCTACCATGTGACAATATTGAGAAAACATTATGGCTGTACAACTCCCGACAATTGATGCGGGCTAACAGATGTTGCTTGATTCACGAAGTGTGATTCTTAGTGAGCAAATTAAGTTACATTTTTGACACCTCGACGAGGAGTAACACCAAACAATTGCAGCAACACCCAACACCCAACGGAGCTATCATGAATGATTTTCTTTCGAGATTTGTGTCGTTCTGAACTTGATAATTTTCCACCTTGTCACGAGTGTTGTTATCAAATTATCTTAGGGGCCGCCCGTAATTATCGAACGTTTTTCACCAAACGAATTATTTTAGTTTAGACCCAACCCCTCCCTCCCTCCCCCTCAGAACGTAAAAAAAGTTTGACATAATTATGCATGCATAATACAACAAAAGTAAGTTGCAAGTGTGTAACTGCTCCTATGGGCATGTACATGTATCAATGTTTTCTGAAACGAAATTGGTCAACCCCTCCCACCCCATAACGAAATTATTTCGTTTTGTGAAAAAAGTTCGATATTTATGGACGACCCCAATACGCTATATAAGTTTTAGTCTTTCCAACTTGAGCCATTCCCTGTACAATCCTTGATGAGAAGGGACCAAAAACATTCGGATGCTTTATGACAAGTGCCTTATTTGACTGGATGTGTGTGTGTGTGTGTGTGTGTTTGTGTGTGTGTGTGTGTGTTTGTGTGTGTGTGTGTGCGTGGATACTTGCGACCTAATACTTACCTTCGTTTTTAAATAATAATAATAATTTAACTCGGATGGTGAGCCAATATAATTATGATGAAGAAAGGAAAAGGACAACATGTTACGAGTTATGACAAACTGTCCACCAACGTAACCAGATCTTATACAGTAAGCGAGTGCGACAAAATGGCACAAAACTGACAAGGAGTACTGAGACTGACATTCGGCGACCTGACACCTAGCTCCAACACTTCTCCAAGGCGCAAACCAACAACCTTCCAACTTGGAAGGCTCAGGTTCGGAAAGGTCCAAAAGGGGAAGGAAAGCGCAACAAAGAAGAGCATGAGCTACAGCCAATTTACTTTTGAAAAATACTGCAGGGAATGAGGGAAGAAAAGAAATGACACAAAGCTCAGTGGTATGCTGGCCTCAAGTGAAGGTCTCTGTTTCGAGTCCTGGTGCGGGTGTCGTGACAGTCAGTATTTTTCTTCAGAGTTTACGCTTTCCCATTCCCTTGACTAATGAATACAGATATTATTAATAATATACTGCCACGGACATTGACATCTGTGTGAGAAGTCAAGAAGTCGCGGAGCGCTGACTTTGCAGCCGTGAACACTGCTGGTCCATTGGTATGGTGCTGACGTTAGCTACAGTGCGTGTACGCACTATTACCGTAAAGTACCGTTGATCCGCCCGCCCCCCCCCCCCCCACGCCATGTCGCTTCCCAGCTGGTTTTTCGGCAGGGGGCGGGAATTAGATCAAGGCTGCCAAGTGCAGTACGATGAACAACTTGGGAGGATCAGGCTCGATGTGCTGGATTGTGCACATTTTAATCCTGGATTGGCACATATTGTGTACAGCAGTGCAAGCGTCGGTTCAACATCGTATTTCGTTGTATACGCCGAAATCACTTCACGGGTAGAAAATCGACAGGGGGCGGGAATTAGAGAGAGGGCGGATCAACGGTACTTTACGGTAAAGCAGTACGGCCTTCTTCAGACTTGCACCAGGTACAATCCGATGCGTTTTTTTTTTTTTTTTTTTTTTTCAGCCACTTTTTAACAATGCAGCATGATCTGAAATGTAGTCTTTGGCACCTATGATCAGGGGATGGCCCACGCCTGGTAAAAAAAAACAAAAACAAAAAAAAACAATGAGAAGTTGCGTACAAATCGTGTACAGACTAAACAGACTATGGATTCGAGCATAACAGAGTGGAAAACCGGAATCCGAGAAAACGATAACATGCAAAATCATGAAAAAGTGGGGGGGGGGGGGTACTGAAGCAGAACAGTAGCCAAACACACCACGGATAGTTACCGAAAGCACTCTGCAGCAGCAAGGACCACAGAAGCATCAGAGTCAATGACTCTCTGGCGGGCATCTTGAGACCGTGGCCTGCGGTGACCACGGAGGCTGGCATTGGAGGCACGAACAAGAGAAAAGGAAACCCTTGACCTAATAAAGGCAAGAAGTGAGGAGAAGGGCTCCTTTCTCTTGTCGGCGAGCATAGAGGCGACACGCTTGAAAAAAGCGGAGGTGGACTTGCCGTAGCCGCCGGAAGCGCTGAACACAATGGGAGAAAAAGACGCGTGTTCAACTTCCCGGACGCGTGCTTCGTACGCGCGCCTTTTTTCGGCCTCATGCTTCCGGTAGGTGGCTGTGATGGACTGTTGGCGGTTGGAGCGGGCGTGCGGGTTGAATACCCGGATGTCCAGTAGTGCCCGTTCGAAACGTCCACCCCAGACACCCGATGCGGCCACATCCAGGCGGGCACCATCCTCGGAGATGGCGGAGCGGTGACGGAAGGTCTCACCGGTTAGCGGCTGGAGATGTGGCTCGACCTGGACATCATGGGCCACTTCACGCAGGAGAGATGCGGTGAGATCCCGAAGGTCATTATGCCGCATGGCGGGGTAGCCACCAGTTGGGCAGGACAGCGCGTGTTCCGGTGAAAACGCTTTGCCGCACACACATTCTGTTGGCAGGCCTGGAGGGGTCCAACCATACCGTAGGCAGAGAGCGTCCCAGAACGCCTGCTTGTGTAGGTTGAAACCATACTGACGAAGGGGCCGACAGGTCAACCAGCTGGAGGCGCCCTTCTCAGCAGCAAGATTCAGGGTGCGCTCTGTGGTGCTGGTGGAGGTGGCAATGACCGAGGCAACCGCTTCCTTCGCCAGGCGCCGGGACTGGGAACAATCCGATGCGTTTAGGCAGGGTGTGAACCCTTCTACCCTCCATATAACGTAATCTCTGGGACCACGCAAAAATTATGTTATATCGAGAGTTATGTTATGTAGAAAACCTTGTGTAAAATACAAGATGTACCTCAAAATGAAGGGTATTACAAGGCGGGTTTAACCGTGCGAACATATACACACTGTTCCACCATCGACATCAGATACCATCAATGCCGCAGAATATATGCACAATAGCCTGAATAGGACTAAACTGGCTAACTACGGCTACAGCATGATCGTACCGCGCACGTGAATCTACGTTGTATCGAGAGTGCGCACGTCGGGGACCGTGCCAGAGGGTGTGTTATGCCGAGGTTTACGTTATGTAGGACTAAACTGGCCTAAACTGCCTAGCTACAGCTACCGCTTGATCGTATCGTGCACGTGAATCTACGTTGTATCGAGAGTGCGCACGTTGGGGACCGTGCCAGAGGGTGTGTTATGCCGAGGTTTACGTTATTTAGGACTAAACTGGCCTTATATGCATCACTCCCATACAAATTTTGTTCTACACAACATAATCCTACATAACATAATCCTCGA